GATCCTTTTCTCCATTTGGCTGACTCTATTTCCCAAGCTTGCTATTCCATGTTTCATCTCTTGCAGTGTGTTCTTCATCTCCAGAAATTCTATTTGGTTCATTTTGAGGGTTTCAATTGCCTTGCTAAAGAACTCATTCTGCACATCTAGTTGTCTTATCAATTTCTAAAATTGTTGATATGCATTGTTTGGGATCTCACTGAGCATTTTCAGAAGTACCAATCTGAATCCTCTATCATTTAAGTTACATAGTTCTATGTTTTTCACATTCTTGATGAACCGCCTTATCACTTTAGTTGTTTATTATGTTTAATAAATTATATCTCCTCCTGGGCATTAATGGAAGTGTATTCTGCTTTTTTTCCAGAAAGAAGATTTATTATATAAAATTCTCTCTTGAGACTATTGCAAAGAAGGCATTTTTCTTATGGTTTCCAGTTGGTGGCATCTAAACTTCTTAGGTACCCACTTTATATAACATCTTAATAATGCCTTTTTTTCTTATAGATAATCAATCACGCTTGCTACCCTCAGTCTTCATCCCTGTCAGTGTTAGTGATAGTTTCAGTAGCATTTGCTTAGGTTCCCCTGGGGCTCCACGGTGTTTGGTCTCGATATGGTGGGAGGGGCTCTCTGTGTTGGAGGATGGGGGCTGTGTCTTAGCCTCATGTTTTGTAACTATGGCTTGTAATAGTCAAGTGTTGTTTCTCTGTTGAACCCGCTTCTCTGCTGTCCCCAATTCTCTGCTTTCTACACTAATGCCTGGCCACTGCCATGGGCCACATTGAACTCACAGCTCTCCTAGGCACCATTTTTCAGGGAACCCGCCACACATTCTCACCTCCCACTCCTCCTGCAGGAAGCGCCGACTGTGAGAGGAAGCTCATTTGTTTCTCCAAGTCTACCACCTGACTCCCAGGGTTTTAACCTGTGGTAACTCTTAAGCATAGATCCATTTCACAGACGTGCTTTTGTGCAGTTTGGGTGTTTTTTTGTTGTTGAGTTTTAGATGTTCTGCTTATTGTTGTTTAAAGGGGAGAGATCTGGGGATGTCTCTCACTCCACCATGTTTCTGACGTCCTGACTATATATTCCTTATGCAATACTTTACATACTCATAACTATTTTGTAACAACTAATTTGTACTTTTTATCCTTTTCCTTTTTACCCATCCCCCAATGCTGCTCCCATCTGGAAACCCTCAAAATGTTCTCTGTATCTATGACTTTGTTTCTGTTTGGTATTTTCATTTATTTCGATCCTTACATTCCACATATAAGTGAAATCATGTCGCATTTGTCTTTCTCTGTCCAACTGACTCCACTCCACACAATAACTTCTACATCCATTCATGTTGTTGCAGATGGCAAGGTTTCATTCTTCTTTATGGCTGACTGATATTCCATTGCATCTATATACCACTGCATCTTTATCCATTCATTTATTTTTTTTATTTTTTGTTAATTTTAATTAGTTTCAAGTATACAGTACATTAGTTAGACATCTATATAGTTAGTAAAATGATCCCCCCCAATTGCTCTCTCCCTCCCCTGACCCTCCACCTAGACAACATATTAATGCTAATTGCATTCCCTATGTCATGCTCCCCATCCCTGTGACCATCCATAAGCTGCTAATTTGTACTTCTTTAACCCTTCACTCCATTTTCTCAGCTTCCCAAACCCCTCTCCCCTCTGTCCATCACCAAATTGTCCACTCCATGTGTGAGTTCACCCCCTTCTCCCAGCCTCCCAACCTCCCTCCCCTCCATCTATCACTAAATTGTCCACTCTATTTGTGAGTCTGTTTTTGATTAGTTCGTACTTTTTATTCCTTAGATTCCACATATAAGTGAAATCATATAGTGTTTATCTTTCTCTATCTGACTTAAATATCTTCTAAGTCCATCAAAGCAATATCTTTTTCTGTCCCCTTCCTTTTCATCTGTAGGGGTCTTGTTTTCTTATTCTTTCAGCCACTCTATCTTTTGGTTGGAGCACTTCATTCTTTTCCATTTAAGGTACTTATTGATAGGAACGTAGTTTCTATGAGTTGTAATTTAAAGATATGTTTACCCATTTCCTTTGATATGAACATGCAGTGAGGAAGGGAAAGTGGAAGAGCCTGTAGTGTGAAAGGCCTGATGGCAGTTCCCAGCCTTTACCCACAGGTTCCCTATGGTTTCAGCCACAGAGAATGAATGACTTTATTTGCATAGGGTAGAACTTAAAGACTCTGTATTTTCTGTTACTTTTTTCAAAGGTGTGGGAAAGGGTTCTCAGCAAATGCAGCAGAAATCTTTTTTGGTTTTGCAGGTGTCCTCCTCGCCTGGGTACAGAGCTGATCAGCATATTGCAGTCCCTGAATGTAGTTTGATTTAACATTTTCATTCTCCTGCCTCTTTCCTACATGTGGTTCACCTTGTTTGGGATTCTCTGTGCTTCCTGATCTTGTATGTCTATTTACTTAGCCAAATTAGGAATTTTTTCTGTCCTTATTTCTTTAATTCGATTATCAATTTCTTGCACGTGCGCACGTGCTCGCGCGCGCTCGCTCTCTCGCTCTCTCTCTCTCTCTCTCTCTCTCTCTCTTTTCTCCTTCAAATACCCCATGAAGCAAATGTTGGTACGCTTGATGTTATCTCAGAAGCCACTTGAACTTTCCTCATTGTTTGTTTTTTTGTTTTTTTGTTTTTTTGTTTTTTTGCTGTTCTAATTGGGTGTTTTCTGCTACCTTATCTTTTGAATTGTTGTTTCAAATGTTTCAGTTCTCTGCTTCATCCAATCTACTGTTGATTCCCCCTAATGAATCTTTTATTTCAGTTGTATTCTTCACTTCTCACTGGTTCTTTTTTGTTTTCTATTTCTATTTTTATGTTTCCTATCTCTTGTTAAAGTTCTCACTGAACTTATTGAGCACTTCTATAACCAGAATTTTGAACTTTCCATCTGATAGATTGCTTGTCTCCATTTTGCTTAGTTATTCTCTGGAGCTTTGTTCTATTTATTTGGGACATATTTCTTTGTCTCTTCATTTTGACTGCCTCCTAGGATTTTTTCTATACATGAGGTAGAGCTGCTCCATCTCCCAGTCTTGGCAGAGTGTCATTACTTAGTAGGTGTCATGTGGGGCCCAGTAGTGCAATCATCACGGTCACTTAAGCTCGCTGCTCCAGGTGTATCTTTTGTATGAGCTGTGTGGTGTGCCCTTCTGTTGTAGTTCAGCCTTGGTTGCTGTTGGCACATCAGTAGGAAGGATTGGCCCTCAGGCTGATTGGTTGGAAAACAGTCCATGTTTTCATGATACAGCATTGAGGATGCTCAGCAACTAAGGCCAGATGCTGCATGTTTGGGATTTGTGAACCTTTGAGAAATTTTAGAAAAGTGTGCAGCCTGAGCCAAGACACGTGTTTGTATGGAACACCACTGGAAGCGGCTTGGGTGAGTATGCAAGTTGAGAGGGTCAGGGTGTGAGGAAATCACCAGAGCAGGGTGAATGGTGTTGGCCAGGTTGATGGAGACTCAGATATGGTGGCCTCTTGGGCATATAGACTGGATGAGAAGAAGGCTCACCAAAGGAACAAAGGCTTCTACCAGCACTCCTGACTGGGAGAAAGCTGCCCCTTCAGCCCTCATTCTAAATCCAGACAATTCAACTCTTCTCCATAAATCCCTGGTGCCTTTCAAGCTGCCGCCCCAGCCCTGGAACTCAGAGTGCGCGAGTCTGTCAGCAAGTAATTTCAGGCACAGGGCATTTAAGCAGAATACCTGGGACTCCAGCAGCCATTCGTCTCAGTCAGCCACAATCTCTGCTGGTTTTCACAGCAAAATATTTATTGAGACTTCTTCTTCTGGTACCCTGGGCTATGGAGCCTGGTGTGAGGCTGAGATCTCAGAGAGAACCTCTGCAGCTGAGATGCCCGCCCCCCGATTTAAGCTACCAAACATGGGTGTCTATACCAAATCATCTTTATATGTTCATGTATCAATGGATTCCTAGGATGCTACTGTATCTAGTAAATAATATTGCAATGAACATAGGGGTTCATATATATTTTAAAATTAGTGTTTTTTATTTCTTCGGATAAATACCCAGAGGTAGGATTAGGGAGTTAAATAAAAATGTCTAATTACTATGTTTTGTACCTGAAAATAACATTTTATTGTATGTTAACTGATTTTTTTTAAAAAACCCTTATACATGAACATGAGTTTTTTATATTCAATGAGAACTACAGCATAAAAAAGAACATTTTTCATATTAATAAAATGTATGGTTAAAATTTTTTCTTCTTCATATGTGAAGTCATCTCTGACACTAAGACCACATAAAATAAATCTATTTATTCAGAATTGCCTTTAAATGAAGACTCCGCTGGGAGATATATGTTTGATTATCAATTTTTGTCAGTGCCTATAGTAGGCAGTGCGAACACCAGACCAAAGAAAAGAATAATACCAGGAAGCCAATAGTAAATCTCAGTAGCATGTTAGAGTTGGCATTACCAGTAAGAGCAGTTAAGGAAGTAGTGTAGAAAAGAATGACAGCCCCAAACTGAAAACTTTGCCTTTAGATTTTCTTCTGCACTGAAATTATATAAATGGCCTTAGTTGCCAAGTGCAGTTTTTTCCATGTGAGTAATAAAATTCAGGATCATTCCCTCAAGAAAACTGTAAAAAAATTACTTAAAAACATAGATTTAATTTTGAAATAAATTATTTTTTTAGAAATACAATCTACCTATGAAAGAAATGGAAATTTCCAAATATTTCTCAGCCAAGATTGAGAAAACATGGGGACAAGAGGAAAATAGAAAAATGCAAAATTGTCCATACATCACACAGGCTAAGCTTAATCAAGTGAATTATCAAATTGTAGAAAGAAATTTAAATCAAAGAAATGGTAATTGCAAGGAAATAAATAGAAAGAGCAAGTGCATTTTCCCACCATCTGAGCAAAGAATTGGAATTTCTGGCTCTAAAATGTTTTCAGCCCTGAAATCATAGACACTTGTTTAATCCCAGGATAATAGGTCTATTTATAGCCTCCACCCCAAAAACTCTTTTTAGACCCCCTTTTATGTCTTTATTCCTGAGACTGTAGATGAAAGGGTTCAACATAGGTGTGACCACTGTGTACATCACTGAGGCTACCACTCTTGACTGTGAGTTGTGGGTAGCAGCAGAGCTGAGGTACACTCCTAGGCCCGTACAGTAAAATAAAGAGACAACTGAGAGGTGAGACACACAGGTAGAAAATGCTTTATACTTCCCCTGAGCTGATGAGATTCCACATATGGAAGACACTATCTTACAGTAAGAGTAAAGAATTCCAGGTAGGGGACAACCACCTAACAGAACAACACCAAAATACATCACGATGTTATTTAAAAAGGTGTCAGAACAGGCAAGTTGGACTATCTGTTTGAGTTCACAGAAAAAGTGGGGGATTGCTAAGACTACACAGAAAGACATCTGCAAAACCATCAAGCATTGTAACAAGGAATTCAGGATACACATGCTCCAGGATACCAGAACCAGCAATCCACAGAGCCAGGGGTTCATAATGACTGTGTAGTGCAAGGGGTGACAGATGGCCACAAAGCGGTCATAGGCCATCACAGTTAAGAGACAGACATCCAAACCTGCAAAGAGTAGGAAAAAATATATCTGTGTGATGCAGCCTCGATAAGTTATAACTTTGTTCTGTGTCAGGATGCTCACCAGCATCTTTGGGACAGTGGTGGAGGTAAAACAGATGTCCACCAAGGACAGGTTGCAGAGGAAGAAGTACATAGGTGTGTGGAGGTGAGAGTCTGAGCTGACGGCCAGGATGATGAGCAGGTTTCCAAACACAGTGATCAGGTACATGGAGAGGAAGAGCCCAAATATTAGAGGCTGCAGTTCTGGTTCCTCTGAAAATCCCAGAAGAAGAAATTCTGAAATTTGTGTATCATTGTCTGGTAGCATGTGGTGGTAGTCACAGCCAGAAAAAAAAATAATATGATTAATTTTTACACATAGGGTCATTAATGTAATGAACTGCTAGAATTTATATTTTTCAGTCAATGACTTTTAAACTGACCATATTGCCTTTAAGGAAGGTGCTGTGACACCTGTTGTTAGGAGTTCCTGTCCCACACTCAGCATTTTTCCCAACAGGTCGTGTAATATACCATTTTAATGCAAAATTTTTCATGCATTTGAGGAATTTTTGTTAAGGACAAACCATCTTCTAGAGTAAGAATAAACAATGATGAAAAACAAAACTCCTTACAACCCAATGATGAAAAAAGAAGATAAATTAGAAAATAGAAATATATATATCATGTCAGGTGACGACCAGAGCTATGAAAAAAAAAAAGGTAGGTATAAAACAGAATAAAGGGAATGTTATATTTCACTGAAGTTCATGAAGACCTGCAAACAATGCGCCATTTAAACAGAATCCTGGAGGAAGACAGAGTGGAAGTCATGAGGTTATCTGGAGACGTGTGTGCGTATTGTGGAATGAGTCAGTGCAAAGGCCCTGAGGATGACAATTTTTTCAGATATTCAGCACTCAAAGAGAAGACAAAGTGTCCAGAGGAGTGAGCAAGAGAGAAAGAGATGAGAGAGGGTGTCACACACTGTGGAGGAAGGACGTGGTCTTCTTGCAGATGCTGAAACTTCAGATCACAGGAAGTCCCTTGTCCACATGTCGTTCTTTTACGTTTAAAGTTTGTTAAATTTTTCTATGACTTAAAATTGTCCCTTAATTTTGATCTGTTGATTTACATTCTGGTTTCTACATTTAAGGGACATATTTTGGAGTACAAGATCTTAGGTCTCATTGCCCAGAAGAAAGCTCATGGCTCACAAAACACACATTCAAACACAGATACAGCACACTATGACATCTTAGGGCATGTCACTGTCCGGCTTTTTTCACTTCCAGCAACAAGAATTAGGAAAGGAATGATATAGGCACATTGTCAAAATCAACTTATCTTGACCATAAAGAATGTAGAAACAGTTCCTGAATTCAAGTTGTTAAGCCTCCCATAAACATGTAAACATGGGGCTTCATTTATTTAAGAATATTTTGTGCCTGTGTTGAAAAGTGTTTTAAAAAAAAAAAACTTAAAAATGGTGAGAGAGACAAAAACAAGATCTAATGGCTCAAGAGGTCCCTAAGCGATTGTGATGAGGAGGAAGCTCTTTGGTTCTGGCAGCATTCCACCCCTGGTGCTATGTCCTTGATGCCCAGAATAACTAATAAAACAGCAAGAAACAATTTATCTGAAAGAGAAAGGAATGGTATCTTTACCATGACAACACATAGAACTGATTGAACATCCACTAGAAAAATGCCCAATGGGGATTTATACACAATTTAAAAAAGAAAATGTGTAATCTGTAACAATAGAAGTACACTTCTAAAGGAAAACTGTTAGCAATTTCTCAGTGATTTTAGGTGTAAAACTTTTTGAATCAGAAAAATAAATGTCAGTTTTGAATCTCGATCTACCACATTAGCTGCTTGAACTTGGAGAGACAACAGGAGCATTCTAAATTAGTCATTATAAACTTATATACTCATTCCAAAGCTTAGCACAGTTCTTTCCTGTCACTAAATGGAATTGGTTATCACCGGTGGTGATATTTGGCTGATTTTTTTCTTCTACATTGCAAGTGTCCCCATTCCTTCCCCACATCTTGGTAATAGAATATTGAAAACTAATGCTTGGCAGTATACCCCTTTCAACATATTAAATAAAGTTTTTCATGTGAATCCTCAACATGAGAGATGGTATTGTGAAATGTATGTCTCAAGAACTACTGTTGCAACGTAATATCTATTTCTATGGGTCTGAGTCTTCCTAACAAATACAGAACAACTCCAATACATCCCACCATGGAAAGGTTTAAAAATGCCCTCAGTTACTCTATATTTCTACTCCACTTAATTTCAAAATTTCTCTAACATGTTCTAATATTATTGAAATCACTTTATGCCTCCCATCTGTTCCTCGCCTCATCCTATTGGACTTTCATTCCCATCACTTAATTGTCAACAACTACCCTTGTATTGCTGATTCAACAGACACTTCTCTTTATATCATATTAAAGAAATTAATTATACATTCTTTAGTCTACCTAGCACGCAAACATGGCAATCCCTCAGCTATGAGCTGGGCTGGTTAGGCTCTCAGGTGACCTCAAGCTGAAGTTCTCTCTGATGTTAGTGGGCTCTCAAACTCACCTGGATGGGATCTCTGAGAGAGAGGACTCCATGTGGAAGTCTGAATTCTTCCCTCAATGGTCGATGACAAACACCAAAGGTGTGTTCTCAGACAAGACAGCAGGAAAGAGTAAAGCATTGGTCTCCACCCAGACTTAAGAATCCAAGAGCAACAACTACATTCTCTTCAACTCAAGGTTTCACAGCCTGACACTGCAGCACAAGAGATATTTACAGCTTCTCATACCTGCTCATTCATTGTTAGTCCCACCTCTGAGCATATCATTTTCCCATGGGATACTGGTCTGGAAAGAAAGGAAAATTTCCTTCTGATATCTGTTCCCAAGAGACCATAATAGAAATCGGGAAAATCCAATTTTTATTGTTCCTTCTCCTGAACATGCCTGCCTTCCAGTGGTCTAACCTCCTTGCACTTTATCCTAACCTGGAGTTAATATTTTCTCCAAATCTACAACTAAGGAACCTCTCTAGACTAGGTCCCATGGACCTCTACGGTATTGTCTTACAACAGGAAACAGCTCTTGATATCCCCAGAAAATTGGTAACCCCTCTTCAACATGAAAGAGAAGTGTGTTACTTTGCTACAAAACAATGTAGACTATAATCCTTGGTTTTCAACAAGTCAGTTTGGAGATTCATGCTGTATGTGAGTATATGAATCTAATTAGAGTTACAGTATACCTACTCTTAAATGTTCAACTATAAGATATATTTAAATCTTTTTATGCACCATGGACCGAGCCTAAAATTGCATAATGATTATCTTATTTCATTTTTACAAATGTCTCTTATTTGTGGTCAGTACCACTATAGACCCCATTTTACATTTGCAGAAATGGGGTTCAGAAGGGTTAAGTGATCTGTCCTAAGTTAGGAACTGAGAAAAGGACTAATTTTGATTGGAATTTCCTCAATATATTTCCAGTGCTTATGCCCTCAGCCCGTGGGTCTGACTAGGATGATTTTGCCTCTAGGTATCATTTGGTAATGTCTGGAGAATTTTTTGTTTATTCACAACTGAGAAAGTGTTACTGGTACCTAGTGGGTTAAGGCCAGGGATGCAGCAGAACATCCTACAATGTACATGACAACCCCCACCACAGAAAATTATCTGGCAGAAATGTCAATAGTGGTGAGATGAGAAATACCATGTTTCACCAGAACTTCTCCAACATCAGTGAGTATACGAATAAGGGACATTTTTCAGATGTACATTCTGGGACAGGTCTGGGGTTATGCAGAGATTCTGCATTTGTAACTACTTTCTAGTTTGTATTGATGCTGCAGGTCCTGGTCTATGGAACATCTGAGTACCAAGGCTGCGGTCCAGCATTCCATCTAAGAATATGAATTTTTTCGTACTTCCTTCTCCATCAAAAATTCTATCACACATGTCATATTAACCATAGGTTTTCAAATCTTGGATTCAGTAGCTCAACTTATGCACACTCAAGTTTACATGTGCCTTCTGAGTATTGCCTTCATGACAGGAAATAAAACTTTAAGGCCTCTGGTTCCTCATCTATAAGTAGGGAAATTCCACCTATGTTATGGATTTGGTGTGATAAGTTAGTAACATGTTAGAGCCAATGGGAAATTACTGGCACAGAGAGGATGCTCAGGCTATAGCAGCAGTTGTGACTATGTCCCAGTTTGGCACTTATCAAATTCACTGTGGCACTTGAGACAGGCAGTGAGTCCAGCATTGCCCTGGCACTGGAGACAGAGAGCTGTCATTTTGAAGGGGGACCTCCTCCCAGGGCCCCGCACAAGGAGCAGACAGGGGCCATTGATCTATACTGTGTTGTACTCAGTGACATCACTTCTAAGCACCTCACACTGACTTCAAAAATGGCCACAGCAAGAATTTGTAGACACTTCTAGCTGTTTTACTATATCCAATGTTTCACTCTGAGGAATATCTGCAAAGCTGCTGTTTCTTTGTAAATCTAACTATTCCTTCATCTCTTCTTTTCTTCCTTGTTGTAAGTCTACAGTGTATATCACTTAATCTTTTGGTGTCATCGAAAGTATAAAATGCTTATGTGTCTGTTTCTGCCCCAAGTAGAATTTGTTTCATTTTTCACAATTATTGATTCACTGCCTCATTTTCTTAGGTCTGTACATCCCCACACATTGCTTTGAGTCTTGAAGGTGCCTCTAGAGGGGGGGAGTGTGTGTCCCTATTGATTGGCTTTGAATTGGACGTGTGACATGCTTTGGTAGATAGAATGCAACCAGACATGACCTCTCGATGCCTAAGGAAGAAGCAATGTGATTGCACCCTTTTCTCCTACTCTTCTCCTCTTCCATGAGCATGAACACCTTCCCACACAGGAGCTGTTTCATCAGTATAGGTCCCAAAATGAAAGCATACACTGAGCAAAGCACAGGTAAGTCAGAGACACAAATCCTCTGCAGTATACATGTATTATGATGAACAGTAAATTTTCATTTCTTTTCAGCCATTATGATGTTGAGAGTTGCTTGTTACCAAATCTGACTAATATACTCCTTTTCATGATTCTATTTTATTGAAATTATTGGGGTGACATGGGTGAATAAAATCAAATAAGTTTCTAGTGAATAATTCAACAATAGGTAATATATATGTATATGTGTACAT